CTCTGCCTTCACGGGGGCGGCCGCGCTGAGGCTCGGAGCATCTCCGGGCTCTGAAAGCCCTCCGGGGGATGGGAGCCTCTGTCCTCTCCTGCCCCCACCCCTAAGCTCCTCTAAGGGGATCTGCGCGGCTGAACAAAGAACGTTGTGTGAGGCGAGGGCTGTAAGCGCTGGTAATTTGCATCGGGGAGAGGGGGAAAAAAAAACCCACCTAAAAAAATTATTCCCTGTACTGCATGGATCAGGGAGGAAAACAGCCGCGCACGGGAGCCCAGCGGCGAACAATGCCTTTTTATGTAGGAGAAAATGATGTAGAATGTGCCTGGCTCGGATGGCTGCAGGTAGGAGCCGTAGGCGTGTGCTGCGCTGCGCTGCCGTGCTGCTGCACCGAGCCACAGATAAACCCTGCTCGCCTTCCTCTGCCCTGTACCCATCCAAACGAGACACCCCGACCTGCCCTCTGCACAAAATGGGCTTTATGGAGCACCTTCGGGAAAGAAGGGGGTGTGCCGCATGCCGGGAGAACTGCTCTCCGTATTGAAAGACACCAGCATGGTCAGTTTCCCTGGGTTAAGCCGGAACTTTCGGTTTTCCTTCGAATTAAAATATCCTCTCGTGTTTTTGGTGGGTTTTTATGTCGGATTCTTCCTGAGACAGAGGTGTAGGTTTTCACTTGTGAGTGAGCATTAGCATAGAGAATGGCATTTTAACATAGCAATTAACAGAATAGCAATTAGCATAGCATTAACATGCAGTAGAATGGGATGTATGCACATGTATGTTGTAAGTCTTCCTTATTCTAGGTCTTTAGCATCAATTTTCATAATCTGTCATGCCAATAAATAATACTCCATCCTTCCTCAAAAAAAACCACTTGCTGTCCAGCATTTGTGCTGCTTATTGTTCAGAAAACCTGTCCATTTTGTTTTCAGAAGGGTTCTACCATGTGAGATTGAGCCACATACTCTTTTGGTTCTGTTTCTCCCCGTTTTCTCCACAAACCTTTGATTCCTCTCCATGAAGGAACCTGTTTCTTTTCACCTGTGCTGGTTTAGACTGGCTGGGATGTCTGGGCTACACCTCTCATAGCTGAAAGCCTCAGGAAGAGGCTCAGCTGCAGAATGTATTTATTTTCCATAGCTTCTTTCCCTTCCCTCCTGCCTGGATGGCGTCAGCATTGCCTGGGAAGAGAATGCGCTGAGAGGGCACAGCATAGTGAAGTTGTTACGTCATAGATGATGATGAAAAAGTGATTAATGAGCACTGAAAGATTGGCCACTTCCCCTCGATGTGCTACAGCTCTCTTCAGTTAGGGTGAGGGCAGTCCAGTTAAGTTTATGGTTGTCATTTCTCCAGCTGATGTTCTGAAAGTGTGAAATGTGTAACAGAGCCCAGACTCACCTGTGTAGCACCCAGGACTGGGAACCACCCACGCCTCACTGTTTCATTTGCAAGACACTGATGTGCACCCAGCAGTGGGCAAGACCTCAGTCTCCATGTGGTACCAGTGTCCTGGAGCTCAGGCATTTGCAATTTGCAGGAGAGCTAAAGTCTCACACTGGAAATAACCCCAGTGCCTTAGTGAGGCTGCTGTGCATGGCAATGAAACCTGCAGGTGAGCCCTGGCACAGGGCTCTGGGAGGAGGGATGATCTCAGCAGTGGAGCATGGTGCCATACATTCCATCTCTTCTCATCTCTTCTTATCTCATCAAGGGACAGGATCTGGGTTTTGGAACTTTTCAGTTTGCTGCACCCATATTGCACATTTCCTGTGGGGGTCTGAGAGAAGCCAAAGAGCTGTCATCCTGAGAATTAGGAGTTGCTGTTCTTCTGAGGAGAGTTTTAGCACACTGGAGGGCAGGTCATTGTGCTTATAATGCAGTTTGTTATGTAAAGCAGCGTTTGCAGCCTTGATTTAGAGGACTGATGTAATTATTATGGTATATTATATCATACCCACTTAGCTGTGTTCTTTAATGTGTGTGGATAATAAAGAAATAGTTGTAATTTAATGACCCCTGAGGTGCTGTGCCTAGGCAGGAGTGATCTGATCACAACAGTCTCTAAATGAATTGCTGCATTCTGTGGGTTCAGAATTCCCGTGTTGCCAGATGTTTTTTCCAGAAGCACCTTTCCTTTCGGTCTGTCATGCTCCTTTCTGTACAGGTTACCCTTTGCTAAACCATACATCTGAATTCACAGAGGAGGCATTTGCTGTGTGTGCTGACAGAGTGGGCTCTGGCCCCTCCAGCTCTGGCACTGTGCTCCCTTAAAAATGTCTGTGGAAGTTGCTAGAAATATCTAAGCACAGAAACAGGGCTGAGGCCCTTTGCAGATTCTGCTGGGCTGTTCCAGCTTCACCTCCCAATGTGGCATGTCACACACGTGTGTTGGAGACAGGTTTGTTCTCTTAATGGGGTTGGGAGAAGAAGAAGTCAAAAAGAATTTAGGTTGTGAGGACTTTATGATGGAGGCTTTCTGAAAGTCACCTTTTGTTTACTAATGTCTTTACAAAGGCACAAGGTATGACAGAGCTTGTAACATATCTGCAGCAGATGAAGGATCTGAAATCTGATCTGCCATGGTGGGACAAATGATAATCAGCTTAAGAAAGGAAAATAAAAGCTCTGCTGGTGCCTGAGCCTGAGTTCCTTGCAGATCTTTTGCCCACAGTGCAGGCAGTGGCTGTGCTGAGAACTGATCTGGTAAAACTTCTGGCTCACAGTCAAAGAACAAAAAAAATGCACCCTTGGCTTTATTTGGGTTTCAGAAAAGGCATTTCTGGCTGCAGGATGCTGGAAACTGAACTGAAGCCTTAACCAGGGAGGGATTAGGGAGCGTTGCACTTAACATGCACACAAATAATGACCAGAAATTTGGAAAGGTCTAAAAGGGGTCCCAAGGTCCTTTCTAAACTGAGTTATCTGATGATATAGATATTTTGGGGTTTGTGCTATCTTTAAATCCGTGTGTGCACTTGATGAAGAAATAAAAGTATGTATGTGCTGATATGTAGAATTGTTCCTTAAGACTCAAGGATGGTTGTTTTGGTCCATCTGTATTTATGCAGTTCAAGCACATGCTTAATTGTGCTTGAAAGTCAGCTTTAGACACGTTTAAAAATCAAGCATGTTTTTACAGAAAAGAGGAAGAGGATAAATTCATGTTGTGTGGGCTCAGTGTTGTGAACCCCTTGATGATATTTAGAGATACCAAGTACTCCAGAGAGAGCATGAGATGAGCAGTGTTCTCTGATACCATGGCATGGCTTATCTCTTCCCAAACACACGCGCACACACTAAGGCAGAGTATGGGTGGGTCTTGACATATTTAGGGTTGGTGCTTTTCTTCCATCCTTCTGCTTCTTGTACAGGTGTGCTCATTGGCAACAGCTCTGTACTGCATCTCAGTTAATAAGAAAAAACAGCATGAGACTTATTTCCATGGGGTGGAGCTGATTTAGAGCATTGGTGCTGGAAAACAGAGATGGTTTAAGCTGCCTGCCTCAGAAAAGGGAAAAGCTTTTATTTTGTGGGAAGGTTTAATAACAGGTTATGCTACTAAACTATACAAGGGTGTTTCAGAGGGACGTTCAGTTTGACATTTGTAATTGCTTTCTAGGTATCAGAGGAAAGCACTGATGTATCCATGGGGTTAATTTGGATTGTTGTGGCCACATGGGTTACTGTACTAGCTGTTAAGAGGATTTGAAGTCTTGATTGACCCATTTTACTTGAACACTAATTGTTTGCTCTTGTATTAAGGAGAAAAGATGAGCTAATCCTTATGGTTTTACACTCACTGCTGTTTTTCCCTACAGCAGTCTTGCAGATGAAACTGATCTTTGTTCCTTTGTCTTGATTGGGGAGGTGGCAGAAAGGGATAACAGGCATCAGCTTCAGAGCATTGTTAGTGTTTGCACTCAGCATCCTGCATCTTTGTTAGTTTGAGAGGAATTATGGTGAAAAGGTGTGGCTTGGCCAATTCTCTTTGTTTTCTGCAGTCTGTGAGACAGGTTAGTGCTGGTTGATAGGCTTGACCAGTGTTATGATACTCTGTTTATCTTCTAGCATCTTTAAAGTCCACATTTTTTTAACTTTCTGTGATGTCATGAGACTATTTATTACACCACAGAAACAATTTATTTATTTTAGGACATGATGCTTCCAGATAAAATGTATGTATGTTTCATATAGTATAAGGGAGACAATAGCCTTAGTACAACCAGCAGGGTTAAATAATGAAAATCAGAAACTGTGATGAGTTCATTGAATCTGTACCTGACTTGCACCTTCTGGAAAGAGACAATGCAATTTACAGCTCTGTTTTCTGATTATTGAAAATCTAGGGTAC